CCCCCAAAGCCCCACTACCACCCCACACCCCCACATCCCTATACCCCCACACCCCTGTGAGCTGCAAGGCTGAGGCTGAGTCCTGCTGACTCCCATCCTTCTTCTTTACTGGTTTCTGAAACTCTGCTTCTCATTCACTCTTTGGAATAACATCTCTTTTTTTCCTAGCAGTTTTTCTAGAAGTTAAAGAGATAGGATCAGGGCAGCAGTGTCCCACTCTCCTCCGGGAAGATGTTAGTCAAGTGTACGCATCCCAGCTCTAGATGTTTCTAGCCACAGTGTCCCCTCACTGTCCTGAAGGAAGCCTAGACTCTCACTGCCTGTGGAGTCCAACATGGCAGCCACATGGATAATCTAAGTTACATTGATGTTGGTTAAAATCAATTAAGATATTTCAAGTGCTGAGCTGGCCACATAGACTGGGCAAGCCTAGGCCTTAAAGAAAGAACCCAAAAAGCCAGGTTGCTGAACTGTGAGCTGTGTCTGCCCATGGGTGTCAATAAAAGGGGCTGTGACGGTTGATGGGTGAGACATGAGGGAGGAACAGCAAGATGACAAGCAGCCAAGGGTGTGGATGAGGGGGGCAGGTGGCCAGCACCACTCTGTCACCTAGCTGGGACACTTTCTTTTGCTTTCAGAAACGTGTTCTATTCCTGACTAATGACTATTTCTTCACGGACATCAGTGACACACCTTTCAGGTGAGGGGATAATGCCACACGAGCCAGGGATTTGAGACAGTAGAAATACTACCAACTCACGATAGAACTTTCAGATTTGAGAGGTGGTTCTTTATTACCAAGTTAGCGATTTTGTGCTATTAGCAAAAGATCCTGGCCAGCTAGCATTCAGGAAATGAGATCCATATAGGCTTTGCCAGTGTGGCTAAATGTCCAGTTCTGCAGCCAAACTCTTATTTTGAATCCCAGCTCCACCACTTACAGGCTTTGTGACCTGAGCCAAGACACTTAACATCTCTGTGCCTCAAAAGTGTTATCTGTGACATGTGAATGATAATAGGTCTACATAGATACTGGCTCAGGGTGCTAGGATGAGAAGATCAAAGTAGAATAGAGCTAAGGTTCCCTCCATCATTTTCCCTGTGGAGCTCAGGTTCTCTGCCCTGACCACTCACTAGAATACCTGATGTCTCAAGATTGCCAATTCCTTGGCCCATGCAAACCAGCTGTGTCAGAGCCTGGGCGCTATACCCTTTGATGCTCCCCAGATTCAAATCTAATGTGCTACCAAGAGATGGGTAGGGAAGGAACCTCCTAGGGAGATCATGAGACCCCTGAACATTTCAGGTGGCCCCTGGAAGTCAAGTACTTATTACTCCTTAAGTAACCCAGGAGCTCAGGAATCATGGTCTGTGGCATTTCCAGGGCCCTTTTGGGAAAGAATGACTGATAAACTATCTATGCCTTCTTGACTCTGGGAGGCCAGGCTAGAGGAGAGCTAGAAAGGCATGCCATGGCCCTGTGTCCAAAAGCTCCTTGCTTGGTGAGCTAGAGTGGTTGTGACTCTTGTGTGCCAACTGCCTTCTCTTCTGTCTAGCTTGGGAGTGGTGCTGACCAGGGGCCATGGAGAATACATCCTCCTAGGAAATACATCTGTGGAGGAAGGTAGGTCAAGCTCTGTGCTGACTGTGATGTAGTGTGTGTGGTAGGGGATTTACTCTCCCAGGTTGCTGAGCAGGTTGATTCCACCCTGGGTGGAATCAGGGTGAGCATTTTCCCACCAGGTAGGGTGGAAGAGAAAGACCTCACCCCTGTCCCAGCTGCCCATGACCCCAACTGCCTATGACCCCAGCTATCTTGGGCACCCTGAGAGGGTTAGGATGTCTCTGAGAGCCCCGAAAGATGGGACACCACTATGTCTGTCCATTCTTCTTTCTCATTCCTGGGGTTCATCTCATCAACCCATCACCTTACCATTTATCTAGTCATAGTCCCCTCATCACTAGACAACCACAATGGCCTCAAATCCTGCCTCTGTCTCTGACTTCATCCAAAGAATCTTTCTAGAAAAGCCTTCTCTCCTGGTGGTTTCCTGCCATCTCTCCCAGGCTCACTTTCCTAAGCTTCCTCCCCTTCAAAAGATGTGCTGACGGTCTGACTCTTGAAAGCTGTGGAAGTGACCTTCTCCTGGGTAGGGTGTTGGCAGATGTAGTCAAGCCAAGATGGCATCATTAGGATGGCCACACTTGTAAGATGGTTCTCCTTAGAAGAAACGGACAGCTGAGGACAAGAGTAGTGGCTCAGCAATCGAGGGCACTGCTGCTCTTGCGAAGGACCTGGGTTCCATTCCTAGCACCCATGTGGCAGCTCACGATTATCTGGAACTCTAATTACAGGGGATCTGATGCCCTCTTCTCACCTTGGACATATGGTACATAGACATACATGGAGGCAAAACACCCAGACACATAAAGTAATAACAATAAATTTTGCTGAGGGAAGGGGGCTCTGTTAAGATGAAGTACACAGCAGAGTGGGAATGGGGGCAGGGAGCTGGCTAACTGGAAGCTGGGAGAGGCTTCCCTGAAAAAGCTCTCCATTTGGCCCCTCCCCCCAGCTCACCCTGGCCCTCCAGGGTGCCAATCTAGATGGCACTGCCCTCTCCAGTTTCCCAGGGTGGCCCTGCCCTGCCAAGGTGGTGTATTGACACCTACAACGTCCTTCTACAGCAAGAGGCCCTGCTCCTGGAGCTCCCTCCCTCTGTCGTCAGTCACCAAACCATTATGTTCCCTAGGCCTTCAGTGTGCCTCTTCATCCCTCCACTTTCCTGCCCAATTAGTCCCTCTCACATTACCCCAAGGTGCAGAGGGAGCTGTCTGTCACTCACTCGTGAAGCCATGCAGTCTCTGAGCCCACTTACCCCAGTTGTTTGCCCACTGTCTCTGCCTACAGTTTCCCAAAGCTTCATTGAGCACCTACTTATCTGTGAGCACTGAGCTACCAAGAGCTCATTCACTCATTCCATCAGCAAGTGTACTGAGTGTGTAGTCAGATAGGCTAAGAGCCCAGTGAGGCTCCAGAGCTCATTCGGCAGGCACAGCCCACCCCAGGCTCATCCCTGGCTGGCCAGTGAAGCAGCAGTGTGTGATAAAACCAGGGAAGACAAAAATCACTGCTTTCAAAGTGTTAGCTCCTCGGAGGGAGGTGTTAAGAGGGTGGAGCTTGAAAGACACTGGTATCTAAAGAGGTTTAAGACTGCAGCCACTAAAACCTGTAGCAAGATGCTGAAGGAGTGGTCATGAAAACCCTTGCTACAAAGGGGTTTGCAGACCTGGGGTGTGTGCCCACAGCCACAGGGTATCAGCCTGAGTCTGGACTCTGCTTTCAGGCCTGCATGACTTGCTTCATCCGGATCTGACCCTGGCCAGCGACTGGTAGGCAAGGAGGTAAGGGTGGGAGGGAGAATGGGGAGATTTGAGGTAACACGAGTTCCTTGGACTTCCAGGATCTATTGTATCACAGATATCGACCCAGACCACCGGAAACTCAGCCAACTGGAAGCTGTGGTCCGCTTCTTGACAGGGATGGATCCAGGCCTGGAGTGTGAGTCCCCTAACCTATGTCTCTGAACTTGTTCTCTGGGCCCCAGCAGCTCAGGGCTTTCCAAGGTGGAGAGTGCCATCAACCCATCCTGGGATCACAAGGACCCCAAAGAAACAGGCAGAGCTGGCTGGGACAGTAGGTGGGGTGTTCTAGGAACTGGAGGCCTGCACCAGGGATCCTCATATCAGAGGCCAGGATCTTCTTTAGCCCCCTTCAACTCTCCTGCTTGTCCAGTCTATCCCCATCACCTTCAAGCAGGCAAGGATCGGACACTGTCTTGAAGTCCTCAGTTCTGGCAAGCACAGCAGTCAGGCAGTCTCTTCAACTCTTCCGTCTAGAAGGATTTGCCAAGTCTAGGCACTCAGGCCTCTGGCCAGCTCACTTGACCATGACCCTCAGCAAGCCCCTTCCTCCTCTTCAGTTGTCCTGCGACATAAATGTTCTCCCCATAAAAAGACAATCTCCTGAACCAACCTACCAGGGCATCCTTCTATCTCCCCATCAGTCAGTCAACAAGGCTGGAGTGAGCATGTGCTTGCACCAGGCCTGGGGCAAGGACTGAGATACAGACAACCCAGCCAAGGCCTGGCACTTTGTGGAACTGGAAATCTGGGGGAGAAGCCAGATAGTGATCAAAGCTACATACATAAGAAGGGTTACAGTCATGACAGGTGCTGTGGGTGGAGTGCTGGGGACAGGGGTGGAGGCAGGAGAGCAGGATTACTGAGGATGAAGAAGAGCCCCGGGTATCTGGAACCTTTTTTGAAGGCAATAAAGATATTTTGGAAGCAGATGGGGTGGGTTATACAGTGATGAACATAGAGCCGTTAAGTTGAATACTATAAGTTAGTATTGTGGAATGTAAATTTCACTTCGATAAAAAATTAAAACAATTCTAAGAGAGGGCAGAGAGTGTAGAGTGGGAGAAAGGCAGCCAGGCCGGGGAAGCAGCAGGCACTGGGGTAATGAGACAGGGCAACACTGAGCCAGGCCAGGCCTGCAGCACCCACTGCCACCAGCATGTCCTACATCAGAGAGTAGAGAGGGTGGGAGCTGTCACAGGATGGGCAGGCCCTGGCTGGATCAAGAGACTATCCAGACTCCACAGTGTTGAACTGGAAGGGCCTTCAATGTCAACTCACATCTATTCTGTGGTTGAGAACTTGAAGGCAGAACAAGGAGGGTTGTTATGTTATTGATATCTTTATGGCCACTCAGATGATGGCTTGAATATCCAGAGATACCAGCAAGGATCCTGACTTCGATAGGGTGGGAAGCTGTGCTGTAGGCATTGTTGTTGTTGTTGTTGTTGGACCAAGTCTTGCTATGGAGCCAAAGATGACCTCCAACTTCTGAGCCTGTACTCCAAGAGCTGGGATTCCAGGCTTGCACCACCACAACTGAGCTACACCCCCAGCTTCTAGGAGCTATGCTGTTCATAATGGGGTGGGGACTGGGCAATAGATGACATGTGGCTGGTTCCTATGACCTCCAGGTGACGAGGAGCTGGTACGGGAGGTGCTGTTTGACGCAGTGGTGACAGCCCCCATGGAAGCCTACTGGACAGCACTGGCACTCAACATCTCTGAGTATGTACAAGGAGGGATGATGGCTTTGGGAGAGCAGGTGGCACAGTCAGGCATATTCCATCTCTGAGCGAGTCAGGCCCCTTGGAAAGACACAACCCCTTCTGAGGGTCCCACAATGAGGACAGGGACACGGGGATATGGTGGAATGGCAGTGAGACTAGCCTTCACCCCCTCCTGTGGAGCAGGCTCCCATCCTGCAGCTCCTCACTCAAATACATCAAGTGCAGCCACAAGCCATAGTCCCACTGCAGCCCAGACCAAGACTGGGGCTGAATGTGTTCTCTCAGTTGGTCTCCCACTACCCAAGAAGTGCCCCCGGAAGCACAAGACAGACAATAAAGACTTACTTCTGGTTTTGAAGGAAGGCTACCACTGGCTTGACCTCGGTGCTTCCCAGACTCTGAGATTTCCCTCATTCTCCTGCTGGCTTTTTCTTGGTGACACTGTGTTTCATGACTAGACAGAAAAATGAGCACTGTGTATGAGACATAAAAGGGAGCCAATCGAGGTGACATTAATGAGGTAAGGGCAATAGCACTTGTTTCTGAAAAAGAAGATTCAAGATCATAGATGTCAAACCTCCCTAACACTCAAGTTCACTGCCAGTCCTCTAACAAAGCAGTCTCCTGTTTTTAAAAGCACGTGTACGATTGCTCCCTCAAGAGAGGGGCCAGAACACAGTGTTTGTGTGCATATACACCACGTGTGCATCTGATTTCCATGGAAGGCTGTTCAGCAGAGGTTCTCAGGGCTTGCTTCTCTCTGGTTAGAAAAGTAGGTTGCTGAAACAGGACTTGCACTGCATACATTTTGATGCAACTTTGAGCCATATAAATGTAGGCATACAAATAAACCTAAAATAAAGACAACCTATAGGGCCAGATACTAGCACACAATGTACTAAGGGGCAAATGTTCGTCGCTAGCTTCTACACTACCAAAAGAATGGTCTGGTGGGGGCTGGGAAGATGGCTCAATGGAGTGTTTGCCACACAAGTGTGAGGACCTAAGTGTGGACTCCCAGAACCTGCGTAAAAAGGCAGGCATGGGTTCCCACTTCAGTGTCCCCATCCTTAGAGTTAGTAGCCATCCAACCCAGCCCTATCCGTGATCTCCAGGGTCAGTGACTGACCTTTGTCCAAAATAAATAAGATAGAGAGGAACAGAAGGAGACACACGCCATCAGCCTCTGACCTCCAAATGCATGCGTCCACACGTGCACATGCTCACACAGACACATGTACACACATACAACACACACAAAACATTGAAAGCCAGGATGTTGTGCAGGTTGGAGGCTCTCCCTCTAAAGACGTGGACAAGCACGCCCCGTCCTTCTCCTATACAAAAAGGTCAGAAAGCACCAAAGCAGCTAGACAAGAGAAAGTACTTCTAGCCAAGGAGAACTGGAGAAAGAAAACCGTCTCTGGTCAAAGATGACATGAGCAGGGAGCAGAGGGTGAGGAGGGGGTGACTCCATGGTAGAGCACCTGCCTAGCATGTATGAGGCCCCAGGCTCTACCCAGCACTGCAAAATAAATATTATATACAAGGAAACTTCAAAATAAGTGGAAAATCATTATAGCCAATAAGAGAATTTAGTAAAGTGGAAGGTTATAATATCAATGTTCAAAAATTAATAATACCTGGGGCTAGAGAGATGGATTAGTGGTTAAAAGCACATATTGCTGTTACAAAGGACCTGAGTTTACTTCCCAGCACACACGCTCAGTGCATCACAGCTACCTATAACTCCAGCTCCTGGGGAACTGACGCCATCTTCTGGCTTGCATAGACACCTGCACCCACATGCATATAACCACACAGAGACATACTCATGTATGTCATTAAAAATAAAAAATCTTATTTAAAAAATAATAATATTTATGCATATAAATAAGCCCCCAAAAGAGATACAATGTGAAAAGACTTTAGGATAAGAAATAAAAATATTGTTCTAACACATTGAGCATATGGTGCGAGAACTGTTAAAACAGATCTGAAACACTGGGCTGTGCTTCCAAGTACCCAGAGAACTGAGGCAGGGGGATTGAAGGTTCCAGGCCTGCCAGGGCTACAGGGTTAGACACTGTCTCAAAAAGTAATACAGAATACAGCTCAGTAGTAGCAGACGTGAAGCCCTAGGTTTAATCTTGAGGTTTGTGTGGGGGGTGGGGGTGGGGGTAGGAAACAATCCTCTAAGACAAAGAAGTAGGCCTGAACACATGGAAAGACTCATGGTGTCTCAGAGTGGAAAGACAGACAACATGAAGCTCCTCCCTAGTGTAGACTCAAAGGGCATGCCTTGGAGACTGTCTCTCTGTATCCAGCTGACTGCTTGTAAAGTTCATTAAAAGATCAATGAACCCAGGGGATGGTCTTACCTAGATGTAAAGACATTATCAAACCTCTGACCACTCTGAGTTGTGGTACCCAAGAGAGCAGCCAGGCCCAAGGGGCATGCATGTGGATTTGGGGTGCCTCCCAAGGCACTGTGTCATGTTAATGAGGGGGAGGTGGCCTCAATATTGGTTCAGGGCCAGTGGGACTAGCACCATTGAGTGAGGGCACACACCTGGATGAAGTGACTCACATTCAAACACACAGGAAAGAAGTCGTGTAAGTACTAACTGATACTGTGATCCAGCTGAAATCAGGGCGTCAGCAAGCTTTCTAATGCTGAGTCAAAGCTCGGAAGCAATGCAAGAATGACTGGCAAACTCAACAACCCGGAAATGTCCTTATGAGCAAAGAAGAGATGAGCTGGGAAGCTGTGGCCATGAGCAGGTGGAGGTACCATCTCTGCAGCTCCAGTGTGAATGGCAAAGAGCTTCAGGAACAGACAAGCAGAAGCACGGAACCACACAGGGACAACAGCCGAAAGAAAGGATCAGTCCTTAAATGTGTGTTGACCAGATCTGAATAAAAGAAATGCAAATAAAAACCACTCAAGATGGCACCCCTTGCAACTGAATTTGGCAGCATACAGGGATACTTAGCAAAAGTATGTATGCTGTGAGCAGAAACTGATAAAGTCGTGTGGGGTCCGTGCTTGGTAACCACATTGCTGGAAAGGATGCTGGTGTGTATGCCGTGGCTTAGGTCACCCTATGTTAGCATCATTAGGAGCCTAACCCTTCAAGGACATCACCATCCCTCACTTCTCAAAGGCACTATAGCCTACTGATAGGACCATCCAGGGAACAAGCCTTCCATAACTGGGACTTTGAATAGCATTCACCCAAACCACAGAAAGTAAAAGTTCATAGCTGGATACAATCAGGCTGAGAGGTCTAAGAGGCAATTTACAAGAAATACAAGGGACAAAAAAAAAAAGTGTGCTAAACAATACTTTAGCAATTGACCTCACCCAGACTGGGGGTCTGGTGTACGCAGGAAATGGTCTGCAAGGAGAAGGGAAGTTAAGATAGGAGACCCAGAGCCAGGTTTAAAAGGCTAATAATTGCCATGGGCATGGAGTTTCCTTCAGGAGTGACTATAAACGGTCTGAAGTCACAGTGTCAATGGCTGTGCCATTTGATGGGTGCACTAAAGAAATGCACTTTGGATGGGGAAATTATATGGTTCATGAGTTGTAGCTCAAAACAGGAGACCGGCTTACTAAGCTGCTGTACTGAACAGACCACAGAAAGAGTCTGATTCACCCAAGTTAAACTCATGAGACACTGCCCTATCTGGGGGCATTGGGCGTCATGGATCTTTTGGAAAGGTACAACTGTGGCACTGGGCGTGTTTTTCTGTTTGTTTTAGTTCCTTATATTCTGATATAAATTAAAATACTTACTGATTAAATACCTGGAGTTTGCTTGAGAATATCCAGTTGCTGTGGTGTCTTAGAAAGCCTGGGTTGGTGTTTGCAAAGTTAGATTATGGGAGAGGTCAGTAGACTACAGGAGTAAACTGGACCGGTGCTTTACAGAGATGACGACCCCAAGGTCTGACTCAGTGCAGATGATCCAGGTTGTTGTTACCTATGACTCTTAAACCCTGAGTGACACAGGCACCCAGCTGCAGGGGCCCTATCTCTCTAGGCCTCTGTCTTCAGGGGCTCTACAGACATCTAACCAACTGAGTTACCCCAGGCCTAGTGCTGTACCTGGATACTGCCAGTGTAGACCATCCCATAGCCTCTGGGTCCTGGCAATACTTTCCATATTGCCTTGTGCCCTCATGGAGCCCACAGACCCAGGTACGAGAAGAGACAGTTTACATGTTGTCACTGCTTTGCCTTGCAGAGCATCAGAGCCTGGCGTGGATGTGGCCTTTCTGGGGACCCGGGCTGGTCTCCTGAGACAAAGCTTGTTTGTGGGCTCTGAGAAAATCTCTGACAGGTAAGTCCTGGGAATCCTGGAGCCTCTGGAAAGGAGGAACATGGCACAAGTCTTGAGTCCTCTTGAGGCATGTCGAGCAAAGACAGTTTCAGTATGCTGTGCACTGTGAATCCATGCAGGACAGGAGACTGGGTTTCAAAGACCAGAACAATAAGAGGAGCAGTGGCCCACTTGGCTTAGTATGTCCTGGAGACTACAGGGCCTATGAGTCGGGAAGGGTAGGACAGACATTTTACTTTCAGGTACTGCAAAGGGAAGCAGGGATTGTGTCTGTTATGTGTTCTAGTTATCCATCCTCCTCTGTGGCTTCTTTCTCCACCCTGGTAAGGGCTGTCCTCGGAGTCCTCACTGCACACAGATAAGAGTGAGGGTCAGATTTGCTATTGCACAGTCCCCAAATTACAGACCCACTGCAGCTAATGGCTCCCGAGACTTGGGATTTGCTCCCCACCATTGCAAGTTGTGGAAGGCAGAGGCTCCGCGTGAGCAGTTCTCAGCTACTGGGTGTTTTGTACGTGACAATGTCCAGAGATGATTTGGGTTACCACACTTAGTGGAGAGTGACTATGATGGTGAGGAGCCAGAGGTGCTGTTGGGTGTCCATGTTACTCAGGACAGCCCCTGAAGCAATCATCCAGACCCACAAATCCTTCTCCAAGAGAAGTACAGATTGTGGGAAAACCCTGCTAGGGGGCCCACATACTGCTCAGTCCTCCACCCCACCCCGGCAGTTGCTGTCTTCTAGATGATGCTGCATGGGAGGTGGGAGCCCGGAAGAGGGCAGGGTGGTCCCACCTGCTGTCCTAAAATTCAGAAGGCTCAGGGAAGCAAAGCCTCACCTGGAGAATGGTGTCAACTGAGCCAATGGGTGACTTCATATACCCTTCTTCCCTCCCACGCACTCACTGCCCCCCTCACTGGGTCCCAGCACAATTAGCCAGTCTCAGTGAAGAGCACACACATGCTAAGCAAGGTTGGAGGCTTTCTAGGAAACAAATTTGCTGATAGCCCCCCCTCCCCCGCTTTCTTCTTTCCCTTCCCTAATCCCTAGAGAGGTGGAGAGGGGAAAACGGCACCATCCTAAAAGGGCTCCTAAGAATGGGAAGAATAGTAACACAAATGGGCCTTCCTTGAGTGATCAAAGACTCTGGGAAGCTGGGAAGCCAGCTGCCTAAAGGGCCACAGGTGCACTGTGTGCGCCAGAGAACTCCCTTTGCCTGGACCGTGATGCAATAAGCAATCTGGGGACTGTGAAACAGCAAATCTGCTTCCAGAGCAGGCAAGCCACTCACTCAAGTGTCAGTCCTCCACCTGTGAATTGCCCACAGGTGCCATTTAATCATGCACCCCACCCAGCTTCGCCCACTTCCCAGCCAGCTTCTGGACCAGCCTCCCTCTGTAGGCTTGTGTGTGTTCAGGGAAAGCAAACCCACAATTAGCAAGGAAAAGGAGACGCATGTTGCACACAAAGCCTTTCAAAGTAACCATGCAGGGCAATCCGTGCCTCTTTGCTGCAGTCACAGAATCAACTGTATGACTTCCCCGGATCTGCCAGTGAGCCAGAGCAAAGGAAATCGCCCACAGCCAAGGGAAGTATACTTTGTTGGTGACACACCTGTCTATGCCTGCTCTGCTGGCCTGCCCTTCCACCAGATGTTGTAGCGTTTGTTTTGCTTCTGGAAGAGGCAGGAGCTACCTGGAGCAATGCATACTTGGGAGCTGAGGACACTTTTCATGCTTTTTTGTTGGGAGGTCCTGAGATGGGTCTTGCCATGTAGCCAACATAACTGAAAACTGTGGACATCCTCCTTAGTCCTCAGAGTTCTGGGATACAGTGCTTGCCTGTGCTGGGGGTGGGGGTGTTTCCTACCCGCAACTGCGCCAGCACAGAGGGGAGTCTTGGTCTTAGTCCAGCCAGGATGGTCGTGGATGACACAGGGAAAAAGGAACAAGTGTCTTCCCAGATTTGAGGAGATACCGGTCCTCTTCTCTCAGGAAGTTCCTGACACCTGAAGATGAAGCCAGCATTTTTACCATGGACCACTTCCCGCTGTGGTATCGTCAGGCCTCTGAGCAGCCCCCAGGCAGCTTTGTCTTCAATCTTCGCTGGGAAGAGGGGCCAGGTAACCTTCACCTCTGTGCTCTTCCCAAGCATGGGAAACAAGAGTGGGCTGATGCGGAGGGCTCCCGGGGCTCCTTCCCTGCCTTTCCTTCCTGACGCTGCAGCTTAGGAAATGCCCGGTGTTGCACACAGAATATAGGACTGTGTGTTCTCATTCCCATCCAGCACTCAGGCTCCAGCATGGAGCAAAGGAAAGAGATCTGACCCAAAAGCTAAACAAACTGACTCCTGGCCCACATTCCCAGTGCGAGGTCAGCAGGGTTGATCTTGATCACCAAGAGGCTTCCATTTCTGAGAACATGAGTGGGTTTAAAGGTTCGACAGCTGCCCAGATGAAAGTCCCAGACTCTGCCTCAGCCGTCTTAGGCATGTGGCTCTTCCCATCTCCACACCTCTCGGGTTACCCACAATGCAACTCCCAGAGCATACGAGAGACAGCCAGGGCCAGCCAGCAGATCCCCCAGACCCTGGCAACTGGACAGGGAGGAGAGGTGACACCAAGCTGAGGACTCCCACTCCCAGCCCTGTTCACTTTGGAGGATGGCAGGAAAAGAACACCAGACCTTCACTGGGTGTGAGGGAAATCAGACTTCTGAGAACCCAGGGAGCCTAAGGCTCAGTGCAGCCTTACTTTCTTAGTTTCCTTGGAGGAAATGGTGGCCCCAGGAGGCTGAGAAGCAACAAGTATCCACCAGGATGCCACAAGCCGGCTGAGTCCGATCCAGAGGGGCTGGGACTTGGACAGTACCCACTAGTGAAATGGGTGAATGGGGTAGACAAGGGGCCAAGAGGGCAAGAGCACCTCAGAGATGACAGCTCTCTCTCTCTCTCTCTCTCTCTCTCTCTCTCTCTCTCTCTCTCTCTCTGTGTGTGTGTGTGTGTGTGTGTG